TTAGCTGAAATTCACGGTCCACTCATGAGTCTTAAGTTAGGCCAGGTAACAACCATTGTTGTATCTTCACCCAACATGGCCAAACAAATACTCCAAACACATGATAATATCTTATCTAACAGAACCATTCCCGATGCTGTAAAAGTTCATGACCACCACAAATACAACATGGCATTCCTACCAATTGCACCTCTATGGAGAGAGTTAAGAAAAATATGCAATAATCAATTATTCTCTAGCAAAACACTTGATGAGAGTAAGGGAATCAGGCTTCAGAAACTGAAAGATTGTCTCAACGATATTAATCAAACTAGTCTTATTAATGAAGCTGTTAATATTGGAGATATGGTTTTCAAGACATCAATCAATTTGTTGTCAAACATTATTTTCTCGGTAGATTTGGTCCAACCTGGTGATTCAGTCGAAGATTTCAAGGAGCTAATTTTGAATATATTGAAAGAGTGTGGAAAACCAAACATTGCTGATCTTTTTCCTGCTTTAAATATGTTTGACTTTGATCTACAGGGTATTAAACGGCGTAACGCTGTTCATGCTCAGAAGGTCCTTGATATCTTTCAACGTCTAGTTGATCAAAGATTGAAGCTGAGGGAAGTACAAGGTTTTGACACAAACAATGACATGCTAAGTAACTTGCTCAATATGGCTCAAGACAACAACCAAGAAATGAACATTGCCAAAATTCCACATTTATCTCTGGTACTTTTTTTTGTAAATGTTGTTTAGAAATTCCTTGACACTTATTTGATAGTATATACTAATTGAATGTTGTGATTTTATCAGACTTTATTTATTGCTGGAACGGATACAATTTCATCTACGCTTGAATGGGCAATGGCAGAATTGCTCAAAAATGAAAATATTATGTCAAAAGCAAAACAAGAGTTGGAACAAATCATTGGCAAAGGAAAACCAGTTGAAGAAACAGATATTGTTAAGCTTCCTTATTTACAAGCAATAATAAAAGAGACATTTAGATTGCACCCTTCTGTTCCATTTTTAGTCCCTCGAAAAGCCAATGCAAATGTGGAAATTGATGGCTACACAATCCCAAAAGATGCACAAATTTGGGTCAATGTCTGGGCTATTGGTAGAAATTCAAGTGTTTGGGAAAATGCAAATTTGTTTTCACCAGACAGATTCTTAAATTCTGAAATTGATGCTAAAGGTCACAATTTCGAGCTTCTACCATTTGGCGCTGGAAGGAGAATTTGTCCCGGTTTACCGTTAGCCACCAAGATGTTACATTTGATGTTGGGTTCATTTATCAATTGTTTTAACTGGAAATTACAAGATGGAATGAAAATACAAGATATGAACATGGATGATAAGTTTGGACTATCATTAGAGAAGTCTCAGCCGCTAAGAGTTGTTCCACAAAGAATATGCAACTAGGTCACTGTTTGTTGTTATAATGTTTGAATATATTTGTAGAAATAAGGATTTCATATTTTGCAAGTAATAAGCCTAGCAGATAAGTAGTGATTGATTTTTGTTAAGTTTGATGTTATTACTTTGTTTTGACTCTCAAACGTTAGAGTTGCATGAGTGAGTATTGTCAATTCATATACAATAAAAAATCTTTTTTTATTAATTAGTAAAAATAATTTTGTCTCAATAAATGATGATTCATATATTACTTCAAATCGGATATAAGAAATGCTCCAATTTAGAGCCACAACAAGACACACCCTTACCTCGTAATATAGTTAAGAGGCAAAGTGTTCCAATAATGAAAATTACATGAAATTGAGGACTATTACCAGTACTAAACCACCTCCAAGAATTTAAAATAGCGGAAATACAATCATCGAAAATTAACGTTTTACCGTTAAAGATAATAACATTCCTAATCACCCAAAGATTCCACACAACCGCCAACCAAATAACACCTAGTGTTAATCTATCATCTATATTCTTGATTTTGTGACTAATAACAAGAAAAGATCTCAACTCTTCCCCCGTAATCTCGTCCCTGCACCCAATCCACGTTTCAATGTTGCCCCATATTCTTCTTGTTATAACGCAAGGATCAAATAAATGTGTTGTGGATTCATCTTTCGTTTCCACTATAATCCCTCTTCTCCACAATTGGTCTTTTGTAGGAAGCCTATCCAACATAAGCCTTCACCCAAACATCAGAATATTAGAGGGGACACTCAACTTCCATAAGAAGCGCAGAGCATTTTTGATGCCAGGATCCATCAAGCTGTAGTTGTCACGGCTTCTGAAGCAGTCTACACAAGACTTGACAGAGAAATCTTTATCGTCCGCTCCAGCTCACACAAAACCGTCTGCGATCCCCTGTTGAGGATCTGCTTCAGCCAGCAGAGTGATCAGATCCGATAGCAGACCACCCAGGTTATCAACCACAGAACCTGCCACTGCTTCAACATTCTATCTCCAAACCTCCTCCCTCCAATAACCAACATCTTCCACCGCCATAAACGGTCTTACAGCCGTATCGTAAAGCTCAGGAAAATCCTCTGATAACGATTGATTCCCCAACCACCTGCTAAACCAAAAGGAAATTGATTCGCCATTGTTAAACCTGCAAGAGAATCTTTATTCGATAACACCCTTTTGTCATTCACAAACATCTTCACCTTCGGATGTTTGTATATGTAATCCAACAATCTTCTCCATATAACATTCTCCTCGTTAGTAATGTGCCATTTCCATTTCATCAAAAGTGCCATGTTAGCACATTCCACATTCCTTATTCCTAGCCCTCCTCGGTCCTTCTCTTTGCAAACCTTGCTTCAACTAACCCAATGAACACCTTTTTTGCCTTTCACTCCCCTCCAAAGAAACCTATTTTGGATGCTCCTAATCTCTTGTATCACTTTCTTTGGGGCTCTATAAAAAGACAACGAAAAAAGTGGGATCGAATTAAGAACCAAGTTAATAAGCACAACTCTTTCACCAATAGAAAGGAATTTTCCACTTTACTTCGACAATCTATTTCTCACATTTGTTACCGTATCTTTCAACATTGCTAACTTCCTCGGACTATCACCCACTTTGACTCTTAAGAATTTGAAGGGTAATGTCCTAATACCGCAAGACAAAAAAATTGACGCCATAGACAACGTCATATCATTAATGTTTACTCCATATAAGTTGCTTTTGCAAAAGTTTACTTTCAAACCTGACATTAGTTCGAATCCTCTAAGAATGGTCTTTAAGCTCCATAGATTGTCATTTCCTCCATCTCCGAATATTATCGTGTCATCCGCAAATTGAAGGATATCAACAGAATCATTACTTCCAAAGTGAAACCCTCTAAAGTCTCCCAAATCAATCGTTGTGTCCATCAATCTAGTTAATCCCTCCATCACTATACGGAACAAGAAAGGAGAAAGAGGTTCGCCTTGACATAATCCTCTTTCAACTTTAAAATCATCTGTAGAGCTACCGTTAACAATCACCACCACAGAACTTATGAACATGCACGCCTCCATCCACTTTAACCATTTGACGCCAAACCCCATCCTCTTAAACAAGTATCTCAAAAAATTCCAACTCACGCTATCGTAAACTTTTTCATAATCCACCTTCAAAACTAAGCAACTTCTCTTCTCCCTCTTGGCTAAGTCAAGAACTTCGTTAACCATTAGAATCCCATCCAAAATATTCCTATTTTTAATGAAAGCTGATTGTTTAACTGGAATAATCTTACCAATAACCTTCTTTAATCTTTCGGCCAAAAGTGTAGAGAGAATCTTGTAAAAACTACCAACAAGGCAAATTGGCCTTTACTCCAATAAAAGTTGGGTATTCTTCACTTTAGGAATTAACGCAATAAAAGTTGAGGTGCAAGCTTTGGTAAGGATAGCTTTGGAATGAAAATCTCCAACAAATTTCATGATATCTTCCTTCACTGCTCCCCAATTCTTCTTGAAGAATTCTAAAGTGTAACCATCCGGCCCCAAAGTTTTATTCCCGTCACAAATCCAAATTGCCTCTTTAACTTCCTCCTCTGAAAAAACGAGCTCAAACGCCTCGACTTCCCTAATATCCAAACTACTAAAATTTATCCCCTCTGGAGTTGGCTTAGAAACACAATGTTCCTTGAAGAATGACTCAAAGTGTCTCTTTATTTATATTTTACCTCCATCACTCCTTCCACCATCCCCCTAGATGTGCTCACCACACTAATGGCATTCCTCTTCACTCTTTTAAAGAGTTATGAGAAAAAACTAGTGTTTTAGTCACCTTTCTCCAACCACTTTTGACCCGATTTCAATCAAAGCATACTTTCCTTCAAAACAAGAAAAATCCTAATCTATTCGCTAACAAATCTTCTATCTTCAATTTCTTTTGAGACCAAGCCATCAATGTTTTTGATCAATAAGCTATCCAATTAATTTAATTCGTCTATCTTGTCATCCACTTTCAAATCAATCCATCAGAATGTCTCTTTATTCCACACCCTAAGTCTCTCTTTAAGCCTTTTCAACTTTTCATAAAGACAATAATCCCCTCTCCCAGAAATCTCTACAAGCTTTCATTCTTCCTCCACAAATTTGATGAAGTCTTTATGTTTGAACCAACAATTGTTGAATCTAAACAATTTTGGACCCCAATCACAACCTCCTGATTTCAACTAAACCGGACAATGATCTGGAAGCTCCCTCCTTCCCACCAATTGACCCATCACCTCCATATCTGTCATAAGCTTCTTTGATAGAAGAAATCTATGAAGTCTACTCATAGCTTTTTGACTACCACTGAACCAAGTAAACTTACTCCCTACCGCCGGTAAATCGATAACTTCCATGTCTTCGACGAAACCTCTGAATTCCTCACTTCCCTTATCTCTATTCCCCACCCCTCCGCCAATTCTTTCCTCCTCAAACATAATTTAATTATAATCCCCTCCTCTATGTACCATTCCTCCTTCGCAGTTAGCCTTCTCAACCGAATTAAGCTAGCCCAAGTTAATCTCCTTGTGATATAATTGCAGGAAGCATAAACATTTATGAAATTGTACATCTCACTTTTCCAACATATCCTTCTCCTTTAAAGATGCACACATGACTTATAACATTTCTCCTCCAAAGGGTAACAATACCTTCCGACGCACCCATGGAATCACAGTGAGACCAATCAACATCTTTGGCTACCCATAACTCCTCCGCAAGACTTTTATTGAAAGACTGCAACTTCATTTCCTGAATAAAACATATATCCACCTTCCCCGATTAATTCAAAAAGCCTATTCTCTTACTCTTGATTCTACTACCGCCTCCCCTTATGTTCATGGATACTATAATCATCGCATATTTTTCTGTTCCACCTTCCTATATCTATCTTTGATCTCCATATCTTCAATATCCTTATTAGAAAGAAGAGTAGAAAAGAGAAGTGTTTTCATCTGTAACAGAATTCTGTTATTCTATTAGTCACAAAAGGCTCTTTGATGTTTTATATACAGCATCAAGGATAACATGCTATTACATATTAGGGCATACTGAAACTTACAGCTGTCAGTCAAATACATAAAACAGAAATAAGGACTAAGCTACTTATGTATTCAATAGGTCAAATCTGGTCTGGTGATGGTGGCATACTGCAAGGCACCAACCACAGATCTGTACAGAAAAGGCTTCAGACCCAGTTTTGGTGAGTTTGCAGGTGGACTGCATGGGAGTGCTAACAGAGCAGGCTTCCAACATGTTAGTTTTCTGCAGCAAATCTCTTATATACTTAGTTTGAGTGAGGAGCATAGAACCATTAGCTGACTTCTTTACCTCAATGCCCAGAAAAATAGTCAAGATCCCCAAGGTGCTTGAGAGAGAAAGTTGAATTAAGCTTGTGAATTACCTCATTGAGAAGAGCAGCAGAGCTGTCAGTGAGGATAATATCATCTACATAAACAAGTAGATAAAAAGAGTGCCCTTTTGAGAAGTAGGTGAAGAGAGAGGGGTCACACTTGCTGGATTTAAAGTTGAGCTTGAGAAGAGTTGATTGCAGTCTCTCAAACCACTGCCTTGGAGCCTGTTTCAGGCCATACAAAGCCTTGTTGAGTTTACACACCAGAGAGGAGTCATAGTGAACAAACCCTGGAGGTTGTTCCATGTAAACTTATTCAGCAAGGAGTCCATTAAGAAAGGCTTTATTTGCATCCAACTGCTGAATAGACCATATGTGGGTAATGGAAATAGTGAGAATGAACCTGATAGTAATAGGATTTACAACATGTGAAAAGGTCTCAGTAAAATCCAGCCCATGCCTCTGATGAAAACCTTTGGCTACAAACCTGGCCTTGCATCTGTTGATGGTTCCATCAGGATTTTCCTTGAGCCTAAATACACACTTGCAGCCAATAACATTCTTGTTAGGTGGTAAAGGCATAAGAGACCGTGTGACATTTTTCTGTAAGACATCAAATTCATCTTGCATGGTTGCCTTCCAATGCAAATCAGCAAGAGCTTGTTTAACAGATTTAGGCTCGGAGTGAGTAAGAAGCACCCTAGGATCCAGTCTAGGCTGAGAGAATCCAGATTTGGCCTTAGTTATCATAGGATGAGAGTTTTGAGGGATAACAAACACAGGAATAGCATTAGGGGGAACATGTGGTGCAGAAGTAGTGTCTGAAGATGAGCTGAATAAAGGGTCAGCTGGACTAGAGAAAGATGAGAGTGTCCCTGAGGAGTTGTTGGCAGTAGTAGGTGAAGAAGTTGCAGAACTACCAGCTGGTGATGAATCCTTAGGGCTAGAAGGGACAAAGGTGAAAGCATGAACATATGATGTAGTAGGAGAGGCGGGATGGAGAGAATTTGAAGAATTAGGGATAAGAGATTGGGAAGAAGTGATGTGAGGAGTAAGAGCACTCAAAAGAGGGCTAGAGTAATGGGGTGCCAAGGATGTACTGGGGCTAGAAATAACACTAGGTCTGGAAGAAAATAAATCTAGATATGGAAACCTAGACTCATTAAATAGAACATCCTTTGAGATGTATAACCTGCCATTAGGCGCCAAACACCTATAGCCTTTGTGAGAGGTGGAATATCCAAGAAAGAGGCATTCGTGAGATCTGAAGTTAAGTTTCTGAGAAAGATAAGGTCTCAAGAGAGGAAAACAAGCACACCCAAAGACTTTCAGAAACTTGTAATCAGGTTGCTGATGGAATAGAAGAGTGTAAGGAACCTCAAAATGAATGGAAGCAGATGCCATCCTGTTAATAAGATATACAACAATGGAGAAGGCATAGTCCCAATATGTTAAGGGGAGGGGAGCATGACTAAGCAAAGTAAGCCCTAAGTCCACTATGTGCCTGTGTTTTCTTTCAATGACACCATTCTGGGGGGGTGTATGTGGACAGATAATACGATGGTTAATACCTATCTCAGTTAGATATTTAGTAAATGGCCTGAACTCACCCCCCCCCCAGTCATACTGAACAACTTTAATACGTGACTCAAGTTGCAGTTCAACCAATGCCTTAAACTTTTGAAAAACAAAAATGGCTTCAGACTTAGCTTTAAGAAGATAGATCTAAGTAAACTTGGAATAAGCATCCACAAAGGACATGTAATACAAGAAACCATATGCATAGGCCTTGCGTGAGGGCCCCCATAGGTCAGTATAAATAAGTTCAAGAGGTTTTGTGTAAACTGTGTGTGAAGTGGGAGCATGTAACCTGTGGGATTTACCCATACAACAAGCAAAACAGAACATATCACAAGTTTTATTACTGAACTGAACATTAAAATTTTGCAAAACAAGCTTGAGAGCATGATTGTTAGAGTGTCCTAACCTAAGATTCCACATGTAAGGCAAGCTATTAGAAAGAGAAACAGTATTAACACTATGTGCAGCATTATTGGAGGAAAAACTAGAAGAATGAAATAGGGACTTAGCAGGTTGTGGCACATCAACAGAGGGAAACTCATAGAGTCCATCAGCTCCTACATGACCTTCAAGAAGAGTGGCATCATACACCTGACATTTAACAAGACACTTGTCAGTTGAGAATAAAAAGTACACATGGTTATCCTTAGAAAACTGACTGACACTAAGTAGGTTCTTAGTGATAGCAGGAACATGAAGTAAGTTCTTGAGAGTGAGGTGTGTGGTAGGATGAAAAGGGGAAGGAAATGAGCTTGAACCAGCAGACTGAATAGTCAAACCTTGTCCATTACCAATGTAAATTTGATCATGGTCTTCAAAGGAATTCATATGTTGTAAATTCCTTGCATCACTAGTGACATGGTATGAGGCACCAGAATCAGGAAACCAGGAGCCAGATGGAGATGGGGAAACATTTGCCACAAAGGTGCTTGGAGGTTGTATAACAGTAGGAGGATAAGAAGGCACATTAGGGGTCTGTACCACACATAAGGAGAGGCTTAATGTGGTGCTTGAGTGTAATAGGCATGAGCACCCTGCCAATGAGGTTGCATATAGTTTGCACCAGCAGATTGGAACTGATAGTTAAACTTGTGCCAGCACTGCAGGGCAGAATGACCAGGTTTGGAGCAAACTTGGCACTGGATATTAGAATTGGAGAATCTTCCACCTCTACCACAGCCAAACCTACCACCACGATGATATTTTCCACCTCTAAAAGGTGGACAATCCTGCACTTGATTAGAGTGACCAGTGTGAGCAGGGGAAGAATCAGTGGCAGGTGTTGGAGACTCGTCTGTTGTTGGTGGTTGAGGCACAACATGAGTTAGGTTGAGAGAAACCAGATCTGGAATTGGCTGCTTCTTAAACTTGTTCAAGCGCAGTTCATGAGCCAATAACAGAATTTCAACCTCATAAATGTCCATAACTCCAAATTTGCTTTCAACAATAGACACAACCGGAGCAAATTCAACAGGCAAGCCCTCAAGAATCATATCAATGTGATGTGACACATGAATTGGATCACCAATGGATGCAAGCGCATCAACAATGGTACGAATCTTCAGCAAATAGTCTTGAACATAAAGAGTGTCAAGTGTAAGCGCATGCAATTCAACATGCAGGTGGCGTACCCTAGCACGAGTTTGTTTCTGAAAATAGCTGAAGAGACGATCCCATAGCTCATGAGAGTGGTTACAGCCAAGCACACGTGAGAGAATTTCACTGGAAAGTGTAGATTGAAGCCAGGATAACAGCAATTGGTCCTTCTGAATCCAGCGAGAATATGCTGGATTGATAGAGCCGGAACGATGAGCGGCATCATCAACAAATTTTGCTGGAACACGAGCGCATACCACCAGATCTGTGAGATCATGCGCATTAATGTAAGGTTCTACCTGTTGACGCCAGAGATGGAAGTTCTTTTCATCCAACTTCTGCGCAATCTTGAGCGAGAAGTGCAAGCGGCGAGAATCATCCACCATCGATGACGGAAATGACGTTGGTTCAGGCGAAACCCTAGCGGAAGACGGAGGCGATGACGAAGCAATCGTAGCCATGGATCGACTCAGCAATCTGATACCATATTAGAAAGAAGAGTAGAGAAGAGAATTATTTTCATCTGTAACAGAATTTTGTTATTCTGTTTTTCTGTTAGTTACAAAAGGCTCCTTGATGTTTTATATACAACATCAAGGGTAACCTGCTATTACAGGTTAAGGCACACTGAAACTTACAGCTGCCAGTCAAATACATAAAACATAAATAGGGACTAAGCTACTTATGTATTCAATAATCCTTAACCATCTTATCTTCATTATCATGATAAACAACCCCAACTTGATAATAGATTCTTTCACATACCCACTTACAGCTGATTCCGAACATTTTCTGAACCTCAGATTGCACTGATCAATGTCGGAATCCGTCATAGACTCGTCAAACAAAAGGGATCCCCCTGAGTTCTGTGGCTCCTTATCTTCTCTCCAAACAGAAATCTCCTTACTCGTGTTGCTATCAATGATTTTTCTGTTAAGACAAGCATAAAACGAAGGTTTGAATAAAGATTGTTCCTCCAGGTCTTTAACCGCTTGCATTTTCTTCTTCTTTGTAGTTTTAGAAACTTTGGCTAAAAGATAGGCCTCATCAAAAGTGATTGGGCCTTGCACAATATGGCCCTGAAGAAGCTGCATCCCATTTCCCCTTTAATCCCCTTCTGTCTTCCTTGTTTGTTACTTTGATCCAATCTTCATTAATCTTGCGTTTCCCTTTGCTTTGTTCCATTCATGAGTTGTAGTCCTTAAAAAATTAGAGAGAG